TTTTCAAGCCTTTTGATCTTCACTTTCTACTAATGTGATAAACACCACCAAAGACTATTAAAAAAGAAAGAAAATGGAGGAAAACTCAACATGGGAAAAATCCAGGAGGAAAGAATTTATGCGAAAAGCAGTAAATATCCTGCACATGGAAAGGTGCCTCTTCAGTCAGCGTAGCGAGAAGATCATTCTGTTGATTGAGGTCCATTCAGAGTAATAATTAATGAATTTCATGGAGGCAAACAAAGTCACCTTAAAACTATGTCTGAGCTTCAGCAGGGTTCTAGGAGACCTTGCAGTGGTTCCAGGGTTTATCAAGATAAACTACAATGGCCCGGGACAGCGTGTTCACAAACCGACACATCTACAGCGGGCAGGCTGGAGCCAGCACGTTTCCTCTGCTCTTTCCAGAGATGGTTCCTTTTTGTTCTGGTTTCCCAGATTGTCAGAGCAAAGGGCCCAAGCATTTGCCGAGCACATGGAAGCTCACAGTCATAGTTCCTCTACAGAAATTTCCACTGAAACAAGCTAAAAATAGCCAAGCTAAAGGAAAAATCACGGACTGTATCTTTAGACAGTATTAACATCATTTCCCTCATTTTATGGATGAAGAAACTGAGATCCAAGGAAGTGAAGTGGCTTTGCTGCCAGGCTGTAGAACTAGTAAATACCAAACTCTCAAGAAGGAGTTCACTTTCCTTCATTTCCTTAAAGCCTTGTGTTGAAAAGTCACTGCGTATTATATCCTTAGATACAACCTATTTTATAACTTGTGCATTATTTAGAAACAAGCTTGTGGCTCTTAATAATTACATTTCTGGGAAAAATAAACTCTGGAAAATTATTTTTTGTTCTCAGCACTTTCTCTTTTTTTTGGTGCCATGCATGGTTCCCTCTCCTGGGGGTAAGAACACTAATGCGGCTAGTCCAGGTGCTTAGACTAGCGGAAGTCACTGTTCAACCTGATTCTTGGAATGTCATGTCTGTCTGTCTGTTGTAGGACAACTCTGCACATACTAAGATGCATGGGTGCGGAAGGATGCTGAGTTATCTTGCTGCTCCATGGGCCAGCAGCATCGGCTTCACCTGGGAGCTTGCTAGGAATGCAGTATCTTGGGCCCCATTCCCACTGAACTAGGATGTGACTTGAAACAAGGTCCTCAGGTGATTCAAGGGCATAGTAAAGTTTGAGAAGTGTCTTGAGGCTGGAGGGGTCCATGTGAGTCCCTTTTCAACTCTTCCTCCCTAATTCCTGGGAGTCACGGTCCACAGCTAAGAAGGGAAGTCTGTTTCAACCATTTCTTTCTCTTTTCCACTCCACCTGGTTTATGCCTTCCCTTCATTTTCAGTTTCCTGGTCCTGCCTGTCCGCCACCAACCCCCTTCTATTTAACTCCTTAAAATCCTGTTTGACATGAATTATCACTACGCACCACGGTCCATTCCCTAGAAACTTCTCGTGCCTTAACAGGATTCTCCTTCTCAAGTAAAGGCTGCTTACTTTTCCTGACTTTCTATATAACCCAGGACACAAAATAAGTGTCAGATTTCCCCTCTCTTATCTTGGGTGCTTCCACATCATGTTCATCCTAGAACTTTTTCTTTGAGGATTTCTTCCATATAGAACAGTAAAGCTTGATAAATTTGTCTATATTAAAATCAAGAACTTAGGTTTGACAAAAGAGAGCAAAAGCAAAATGAAAAAAATATAAGTGCATATGCCCCCAGAATTGGCATCTAGAATATATACAGTGAAATCATATATGTACATATATCAATAAAAAAAGATTCCAATTTAAAGAAAATGGGAACAAGATACACTGAGGTCATCCACATGCCAGGAAATGAGTATTGACCCACCAAAATGAGAGGATGCTCAACCACGTGACTAATTAGGGGCATACATGCCAAAACTTTAGGCAACACCATTCTGTACCCAATTAAGAAGTTGGACAATATCAAGTAGAGAATATAATACAGGGTAATGGACACTTAGATTCCTGGATTGACTACAAATGTTTACGACCACATTGGAGAGCAATTTGGCATTATCTAGTCAAGTTAAAGGAGCCCTCCCCCTATGACCCAACTGTTTCATTGCTCGCTGAGTCCAGAGCAACTCCGAGCAGATGCACAAGAAGATATGTGCAACAACATTCACTGGAGTGATGCCTGAAATGATAAAAACTGGAAACCCAATGTTCACCAAAAAGGAGAATACGTAAATTATATATTCATAGAGTGAAAAACTGTGCAGCAGCTGTATGCAAATGAACTGGTGTGTGTGTGTGTGTGTGTGTGTGTGTGTAGACACATACATATTTATATATCTCAACTTGAAAGAATCTCACATTTAATGCTGAGTTAATAAAAGTAAATTGTAGAAAAATACACATCAATTATATAACATTTAATGTATATGCACTAAAATACATGTATATGCACTAAAAACATGAAGCCATGCTTGGCAACGATGAGCACCGTGGCTAGGACCACAGCATCGTGTTTTGGTGCTGGTAGGAAGGCGGAAGAGTCCATGAGAATTTGCATAGGCGGCTGCAAGAGTGTTGGTATAGAGCTTTATTTCTTAAGCTGAATGGCAGACACAAAGGTATTTATTATATTTATATTACTTGATTAAATTAAAATGAAACAAAAGCCCTTTTCCCTTTAAGACCACATAACTGGGCGTGTCGCCCTCTTCCTGTTCTGACTCCATCCTGTACTGACGGGCTCTCACCCACACCCAGCCTACAGCTTTCTTCTCCATCCTTTCTATGCACACCTGCCTGACTTCAGCAGCCCTGCGGCTCCAAGGTCCGAGGACCCCCCAGCCCCTGCTCCTCCTGTGTTCAGCGGCCTTGAACCTCACTTGCCGCATTATGGGTCTTGTCACCCGGAACATCTCCATCCACTAACCCCCGATTCTCTCTCCTACTTCGCCCATGCTCTTGCCCAGCTGATCCTCACTTTGACCTCCTGCTCGGCTTGATGGCTTTGACCTACTTTATTCCTCCAATCCTCCCCCGAGTTATTTTCTTCTTTCTTCACCAACCTGGACCCATAGGAAACCTTTTTAGGGCGTTGGTCACACCCATTCCGCCTAACTCCAATCACCCATCTCCTCTCGCCCTGGCCGAGGATGTGGAATAATGCTACCAGAAACCACCTAACAGCCCCGTCCTACATCATTTCAAATCCATTTTCTCCAGAGCAGCTGGGCCCCAGGCTCTGACGCCGGCCTTTTCACCCATTCCTAGTTGAACTCGGTCTTTCCCAGTCTTGGGTATCACTGGGCCATGGCTGCCCTGGGTCTAGAATGGGGAGTTAACTGTGTCCTGCAGAACTAAGGCTCCAGGGAGGTGCCTCGGAAGCAGCGCAGGGAGAGAGGACTCCGGCGGCAGGCTCCGGGTCCCCATCCTTCCATCACTCAGAGAAGGTCTGCTTTAATCGTTTTAAATATTGGCCTTCCCAATGAGATTCCATTTGACCAATCAGTAAGTAAATAAATAAAGGGGTGGTGCTGGTCCTGCTTCCTAAACCTTTCGGCGGCTTTCCATGGCACTTGGTATGGCACACAAACCGCCAGCGTGGAGCCCGCAGGTCGTGGCTCCGTGTGCTCCTGACCCAGGGCTGCTCATCCTTGGTTTCCCAGGCCCGTCTCATTACCCTCTGGCTCCGACCTCCGTGCCCATGTGCTGTGCCACCTCAGCATGCCTGTTGCTTTGCTCGACACCAGACTCCTCATTTTAAAAGTTCTCCTCAGCTGTCCCCTCGCCTGGTCGTCCTCCTCTGAACCACACTGCCTCTCCACGGCGCTCCTCACCCGCCGCGTCACATTGTTAGTGTGTTTCCCCACCTAGTCTGTTGCTGCCACCGCCAGACTGCAACTCTCCCACACGGGGGATTCACGTTTGTTTTGTTTCACATCAGTAGCAGGGCCAAAGGTGGCTTCAAACTTCAGAGGAGGACCTTTACCCCAAACCATCCCAAATAAATGAGTAACTAAAGGAGAAGGTGCGCCTTTGCTGTGCGCATGTGGCTTTGTGGAGAGTGCCCAGTCCTCCCTGTTACAGTCAGAGGTGCCCCTGGACCTTCGCCACAGGGCAATGGGGGGGGGGGGCTGCCTCGGGATCAGCTTCTCTCTAGTGGGTCTGGCTCACATGCATAGCAGGCATCCAGGAAATGCTTTCTGAATGAATCGATGAATCTTTGAAAGTTTGAGCACCAGCCTAGGAAATGAAGTTCAGCTCCCTAGGTCAGTATGAGCAAGAAGGGTAATTGGAGGTCAGTGACCCCTCCCCTCCTCATCAGCCCTCAGCGCCCTGCCGAGTCCACTCCGGGACAAAGGATGGCACAGCCCACCAACGGACCCCCTGCCTCCCTGCATGTGTGCACCCCTGAATCTTCAGAGGGTGACTCAGGAGAGACACGTGTTCAAGGAGTTCACTGATTTCCCAATAAACTGGCTAATTATGTAAGTGCTTCAGGACCCAACTCAAGTGTCCACAGGCCATCCTGAAATTAGCGGCCAGTCTTTCAAAAGGTTGCAAGGAGTGCCGTTAGAGCCGAACACAGATGCACTCTCGGATTGAGAACGGTAGTGTGTCACTGAGAACATCTGGGGTAGATCAGACATGATCAGCAGTTAAGAGAGCCGAGCCCCTACAAAAAGATCTCAGTTATACCCCTGGGTGTACGTGAGTTGTGGCCACACCTTCACTTGGCAAGTGTGTCCAAGTACTCTTTCTCCCAGGGCCGCCTTTCCCTGGGCTGGCTATGAGTGTCCTCAGGCTTATAGTGAAACATGGCGAGATAGCAAACATGTGGTTTCTGTGGGCGTATTTGTTTTTCTGGGCAAACAAGATCACGCCCTTTAGAAGAAATACACAAGCAGGAGGTGGCTTCAGGTAAAACCACAGGGTGAAGCAATGGTGATGGGGTGTGGGTGCAGGGTGCTCAGGCATGTGAACCAGGCATCTTGGGCAGCACAGGGAATGAGCTGAAGGGCAGGTGGCATGGAGGTTATTTTAGGAGGGTAGGTAAGTATGATGATTTTATAGGTGCCTTTTTTTGAATGACTACCATGAGCCAAGGACAGTGCCTTTTACTTAGGGTTGCTTATTTAATCCTTTTATAAATATTATGATAGGTACCCTCATCATCTCCATTTTACATGTGAAGATACTAAGGCTCAGAGAGGTTAAGTAATTTGTGTAAGATCACACAGTTGGCACCAGAGCTAGGATTTTAATTTAAGATTGTCTACCTCCCAAGTGTGCACTCATGACTACTGTCCCACACTCTGCCTCTAGTTGGCAGGATAAGCTCAGACCTGTAATTACAGGGAAGAATTTCTTAGAAGATAATAAGGGAAGAGTCAAGCTCTGGCAGCCTCACTAAGGTTTATCACAGAGGAGACCTAATTAACACAGAGATTTCCTATGGGAGAAAGGATATGTTGCTGTTCCTTAGTTTTGGGAATGGAGTAACATAAAAAAAATAGACCTGTGGCTAAGATGAAAGAATGAAGGGTAAAAGATATAGGAAAATGCTAAAAACAATAACCACTAAAATTTACTGACCAGTTTACCAAACGCTTAGAATTGCTGGTGCTGGGTTTTGGACTGGCTTGCTTCTTGGGCAACTGCACATAGTAGGGTCCAGGGTGGGATACTTAAGGGATGTATTTATTTGATGATGGTTAATTATTTTTCTGAGCAAAAGGAAGGTGTAAGCTGGTTCTCCATAAAATAAGAGTCAGTAAACATCAATGTAATGTATAATTCTTGCCTCACCGTAAATAGAACAGAAACTTTGTCTGACACATTATAGCCAATGCCATTTTTACCTGTAGAGCTTTGCTACTTAAAGTGTGATCCATGAACCACCAGCATCAACTGAGAGCATCATCCCAGTGTCTTTGAAGCAGAACTTGTCTTTTAACAGGATCCTCAAGTGATTCATAGATGCAGTAAAGCCGGAGAGGCACTGCTCTTGAATGTGTCTTGTGTCATCTTGGCAACTCAGTGAACTCCTATTCATCCTTCAAAGCCCATCCTAGATCAACTCTTTTCTAAAGCCTCCTCTAACAATGCCTGACAGAGTTAATCATTTCTTCTCCCTGCTCTTTCTCTAGACCTCCTACTATCCCCTAACCTGTGCTCATCACCCTGGGTTGGTTACATGTTGAGGAGAGGCATCTTTGTAGTATAGCATTGGTCAACTGTGTTACCTAAACAAGGTAGGTTCTAAAAAGTATTCAGTTATTCAATTTAAGTCCCTCTTGGACAATAGTTTTCAAGTTTTCCTGTGCATAGAAATCACCTGTTCTCAAAAACTTGTTATACTAGAGGACTGTGGACCTTCCCCAAATAGACTGTGACTGCCGATTTAGTTAGGCTCCAAGAATTTGCATTATTCACTAGCAGCCCTAAGTATTTCTGATACAGATGCTCAGTGTAAAGCTTGGTTTACAAATATTTCTGAGTTGGAGTCTGGGACATGGAGCTTCTGCTCTAGTGGGCTGCTACCATCCTGCTTATTATACTGGTCTCTGCATCCTCCAGATCCCAAAAGTGGCCAAATCCATCAGCAAGGGAATCACCCAAATAGGTCTGGACTATGTTTCAGAAAAGATGCCTTTGTACAGAAATGAAAATGTACTCAGTTTTGGATCCTAACAATATCAAGTAGTCAATATTAATGGGCAAACCCACTTTTATAAAGGCCTGCCTCGTGACATGGACTCACTGGCTTTTAGCACCCATTCCATTATTCTGGAAACACAAGAACATTTACTACCCACGCAGCTCTGACTGTGTGAGTGCTGCCATATGCCAGTCAATATATATCTCATTTAATGCACACAATAATGTTAGGGACACGGATTGCTCTTTTACTGATAAGGAAATCAAGCCTCAGGGATATTTCAAAATTTACTTGGAGTCACAGTTAGGAAGGGGCTGAGCCAGGAGTCAAACCTAGGTTTGTCTGATTCCAAAGATGTTACTTTCTTCCTGTTTGTCAAATGGTGTCTCTGTTTCTTTAGCTACACTTTCCACACAAAGTCCCCCAGGGATGGACACAGCTGGGACGGAGCCTTCCACAATGCCCAGTCATGGCACTCCTCTTCTAATCCACATCTGTAACCTTTTTCCTCCAGCTGTAGAGTGTATCCATACTGACAAAACATATGGAAACACAAAGAAGTGATTTCTTTCCCTTTCTAAGAAAACTGTTAACTAGTTTGACTTTTCTTTTAGCTGGTACTCTGAGTCCTTGCATGCTTTTGCAGCTGGAGCAAAAGACACATGGACACATATTTTTGAGTTGTTATGACAACTGAATAAAATCACAATAGAGTGAGGAGGCAGTCAATTTTTGCAGTTGATTGGGAAGAAAATCAAGAAATTGAATTGATCATAGTTACTTAAGTTAATTATCCAAAGTTCTCAGAGAACCAAGCAAAGATTTCTTTACTTGAGAGAGGGTGTTTGTTCTTTTGAGGGGGGGGCAGGAGGAAATAATGGGTTAAATAAATTATGTTATATCCATAAACATGAGACACTAGGCTGCTGAATTTTTTCAGTGTCTACTATATGCAGGGCACAAAGATGAACACAGCAGGCACAACTCCTGCCCTCATAGAATTATTGTATATTGCATGAAGCAAAATGGTATAGATCTAGGATTCTATCAATGAAAGTCATCCAAGATGTGTCATAAAAATGCAGTTTGCAGGAGAGTATATAAAAAGTGAAAAATGTTAAAAAAAAAATCTGTGTTCTTATACAACTGATTTGACAGATGATTATATACAATGTCACTGATGGCGGTTGTCTTCCAGACTAGGAATGAGTCTGGGTTGGTGATGGGGGAATGGATGGGAATGGTGGACTTCATATGTTTTTCTGACAGGGACTGCCAACTCCCTGCCCTCAAATCCCTCCTGCAGTCAAAAAACAAAACAGAACATTTCCCAGACCCCTTGTGACTCGGTGCAACCATGTGACTAAGTTCTGGGCAAGCTGGAAGTGAGAAGTGTTGTGCAGGACAGCTGGGGAAGCTCATTAAGAGGGAAGGGACTAGCCCTTCTGCCCGTGTTCCGTTCTACTGTCTGAAATGCGGATTCATGGTGTGGCTCCAGCAGCCATGCTGGACCGTGAGGACATCTTGAGGGTGGAAGCCATAGACAGAACACGGCGGTGGAAGAGTGTGAGTCTTCTCCAAACCAACCCACCACTGCTCTGCTGTCTACCATGGGGGTCATGATTCATGAGTGGATACTGTAATTAAAAGTACATAAAATAAAATACTCAATTCTTGAACCCCATTGGCTACATTTTTAGATTTCAATAGCAAACCTGTGGCGGCTAGTGGTAACTGAACTGGACAGCACAGATAAAAGAACATTTCCATCATACTGAAATTTCCGTTAGGTAGTATCGTTCTACCGCTAGCTTCCAGACTCTATGACAGAGAATAAGTCCCCATATATTTATGTCTTTGTTACTTGGAGCTGAATTAAACACACTGTACAAATTCTTTAAAAGAACATACATCAATTTAATGACAGAGAGCTAATATAGTTTAAAATACACTACTGAACACCAAACAGATTAAAACAGATAAAGATATACTGTAATTAGTCTGGTTCAATTATTTAAAAAAATAGGGATATTATATAAAAATATAGGTTTTTTTAAAAATAACCTTATGTATATAAGATATCTGGCAAGTTATAAACCTTTAGATTTGCTTCCTTGTTCAAAAGCAGAAGTTGGGCACCTAAAGTTTATATAACCTTCACTTTGAATCAACACAGACCACACACCAGGTAGGCATATTCATGTCTGTAGGGCTGTTGTCTGCATCAGCTATGGAGCATATTAAGAATGTTCTGAGAGATACAGTTAACATTTATGGGAGACACTTTTATAAGGATAAGATATGGTCTGGTGCTCTTTAGCTATTCATCAAACCCTCTGCTGTTTGCATTTTGAAAATATACAATGACATTACATTTTAAATATATGAGTTACTCTGTGCTTTCTTTGAACTTGCAGTAAAATTATGATACCATTGTGTATTTTTAAAGATTAAATATTTCTCATATTTTTATGCTATGGCAAGCAAACCAAAGGCTTTTAGCATTCCAGGTCATGTAGATGATTTCAACACGGTTGTTTATTCTTAGCTCAACGTGTGCGGGATTCAGGCAAGTCATTTCTATTCTTTTGAGAAGGTGCCACCCAGGTAATCTTTGGCAAACGAATGTTAATGCATATTCTGATCTGTCTAGAAAAATGCAGCATGTGGAACCCATTCCTTGGGCTGAGGTACAAGAGCAGATAAACCAAGATTCTACGGTCGATGCTTATACAAAGCAGATAAACCTTCAACTTCCAAGAGGGCACCAAATACAGTAAGTCCCTGAACCTCCATTGGGTACTCTGTCTCCACAAACCCAGGGCATGTGCCTTTTTGCTCCCTCTCCTTTGAGAGTGTGCGTCTGTGTGTGCACGTGCACATGTGTGTGCTTTATCCTTCAAGTCATGATGATTTGACATATATGCTGTTTCTGCACGTCTTCATTATCTAATTCCACTGAAAGTCTTAGAGGCTCATTTGAGATTGAGACATGAAAGTCAGGCGAGTGTGTTCTTGGTTGGCAATTGGCGCTGTTGTAAAATCCTTTTTTTTTGGCACACCGGGAAAGGAAGTGACTTCAGCTGTAGTCTTTATGTGTCACCACCTCCCTTTTACCTTTGTCTGAGAAACAAAGGGATGAGAGAATAAAGATGGCTGGGGGATGCAATTTGGTGAGAGGGCTCCAGGTCCTGCTCCTAATACTGACTTAACATTTCAGAGTGTTGTCTATCTCTTTCTCCCCATCAGCAGTGGCAATTTTTAGTGCAAACCTTAAGATCTTGGGCTACTGTCCATTCAACACAACACCAAGTCTGACATTCAGAAGATACTACAGAGCAATCTAAATCTATATTGAAGTGTCTTGAAATGTTGTGCAAAGGACATTGCATTCCCGCCCATGTCACTTTATCGAGTTCTCTTTCCCCCTCTGTCCATTGTCTCCAGAGCGTAACCAACTCTTGCTGTGCTCCCCCAGCTCCAGACTCATTCCAAACTCCCTTCAGCCTGGCTCCGATCCAGGTCCTCAAGGTTCGGCATCTGTTATTTCTTTCATGAAGGTCGTAGTCTCTTCTAACATAAAGATTTCTAGATTTTCTGGCTACCTTTCCATTTCCCTTTGGCTATTCCATGCATTAACACAACCAGAGGCCCTAAATCATGAGTGGGCAAACCCAGGAGCTTCCCAGCAAACACTGCGAAGGCGAAAGCCCGAGCAACGAGCATGCTGAATTTTTATCTTTGTGAATGTCTGCTACAAAACATCTTAAAATCCTTCTAGCTTATTGCCCCTTCTTCTGATCTCTCAACTTTAGTTGATGGCCCCTTAACTTTAGTTGATGTGCAACTTGCTTAGTTTCTTTCCAACTACTCATCCTTACACCAACACTAGGAGCTTCCTGCCTCCCTCTCTCCTACCCACATCTGTGTGGCCTTGAGTAGCCACCTCCCATCCTAAACCCTTGTTCCCCTCAGCTGGAGACGAGGCAGCTATTCTAGAAGGTCTCTGAGGGTGTTTCAATCCCAAGGTTGTAAGATTCAGGTCCTACCTGCTCAAGAAAAATGCATGTGACCCGGTTAAAAGTGAGCACCTGGGCATGGGCTACTCTTTCTACTCTGAAGTATTTTTTAATGGCACAAGTATCACATGGACATTTTTTATACACAAAATGAAAACATTAGAGAAGACTCCATGGTCTTTCCTCCAATCTCAACTCATACCACCTCAAGTTTTTGAGATCAAAGAAACTCCCAAACTTTACCCACTTCGCTTCTTTAGGGGTTTGATCTGTGCTTTTTCTGACAGCGTTCTATTTTTATACACATGTATATTCAAAGAAAATGTATAACATTGTTTTGTGAGCTTTTCAAAGATCTATACATGCTGTTTTTGCAAATTTTTGTTTTCCAAGTCCACAGAATGTCTGAGAGGCTCATCAAAATAAGAACTGAAAACTGGGCAAAGGTAGGTAATTGGTGCTATTATGAATATAAAAATAAAGATATAAATGGTATACAATTCTTGTTGTTCTGCATTTCTCCCCCCTTAATATCAATTGTTACAAGAAAACACAGGCCACTCTTTTCAACAGCTACATAATATTCCATGTAGCAATGATAATAATAATACCTATGATTCATGGAGTACTGACTATTTGCTAAGAACTATTCTTACTGAATCCTCATGGAACTCCATGGAAAAAGCAGCAATATTGATCCCATTTCTCAAAGGAGAAATCTCAGAACCAATATAAAAGCACTGTGCCTTATTTCATCTACTGCTAGACATTTAAGATGCTTCCAACTGCTTCCTACAACCAACATATGAGCACGTCTCCTTGCCTAGTTGTAGACAGGATATACCACTATGAGAAGGGGAAGAGCTGAGGGGTAATGTACATGCAGTTCAAGGTTTAAAAGATACTTCCAAATTGCCCTTGATTATCTTATCAAGAGAGACTGGACACTGAGAACAAGAAGATGGGATGTGGAATGGGGAGTCGGCAGACAGGGTGGCCAGACTGGGGATGGGTGAAGGGATGCCCCGAACTTCAGCTTCATTCACTTTTCAACTGTGCCTGAGAACAATCCTGGGGCAAAAGCAGGACTTTTCCACTATTTCTCCTAAGTTTCTAAACTCCAAGTTATCTTCTTGCTTTCTTGTTTTTCCTGTTTCCTCAGCCTCTAGGACCTTCCACCCACCAGGCCGTGCATCTGGGCACCAGCTGTGCCAACTTTGTTAGGCTTAGGAAAGACGTCAAGCCCTGCAGTGTTTACTTTATCCTTAGAACATTAAGGAAGGTAGAAAGGCCTCTGTCCCTGTGCACCATTTGCACAGATGTCAGGCTGTGGATGTGGGTTCATTTTTCGTTCTTTCATCTGCAGGTCTGAATTAAACCATAACCTGCCTCGCCGACACCACGGCATCAACATTTTCTCTGCCTGGAACATGGTTTCCCTGTTCTAAGCTGCCATTTAAAAATAAACTTAACATATGGCATTTGTCTTATGGCAAAGGAATGCAGTGTGTTTTTCTCCACATATGACTCAATTCAAACACTAGGGAAAACTTTGATATTTCAGAGGGATTTGCAGTTGAGGGAATATGCTTGCTACCTTCCCCATTAAACAGGCAAATTCCTTGAGGCCAATTTCCAGAACCTGAGGTGTCCCAACTTTCTCAGCTAATTGAATTCCTTAAATCACAATACATCTCATACAGACCCTGGAGTAGTTCTATAATACCTATGATTCATGGAGTACTGACTATTTGCTAAGAACTATTCTTACTGAATCCTCATGGAACTCCATGGAAAAAGCAGCAATATTGATCCCATTTCTCAAAGGAGAAATCTCAGAACCAATATAAAAGCACTATGCCTTATTTCATCTACTGCTAGACATTTAAGATGCTTCCAACTGCTTCCTACAACCAACATATGAGCACGTCTCCTTGCCTAGTTGTAGACAGGATATACCACTATGAGAAGGGGAAGAGCTGAGGGGTAATGTACATGCAGTTCAAGGTTTAAAAGATACTTCCAAATTGCCCTTGATTATCTTATCAAGAGAGACTGGACACTGAGAACAAGAAGATGGGATGTGGAATGGGGAGTCGGCAGACAGGGTGGCCAGACTGGGGATGGGTGAAGGGATGCCCCGAACTTCAGCTTCATTCACTTTTCAACTGTGCCTGAGAACAATCCTGGGGCAAAAGCAGGACTTTTCCACTATTTCTCCTAAGTTTCTAAACTCCAAGTTATCTTCTTGCTTTCTTGTTTTTCCTGTTTCCTCAGCCTCTAGGACCTTCCACCCACCAGGCCGTGCATCTGGGCACCAGCTGTGCCAACTTTGTTAGGCTTAGGAAAGACGTCAAGCCCTGCAGTGTTTACTTTATCCTTAGAACATTAAGGAAGGTAGAAAGGCCTCTGTCCCTGTGCACCATTTGCACAGATGTCAGGCTGTGGATGTGGGTTCATTTTTCGTTCTTTCATCTGCAGGTCTGAATTAAACCATAACCTGCCTCGCCGACACCACGGCATCAACATTTTCTCTGCCTGGAACATGGTTTCCCTGTTCTAAGCTGCCATTTAAAAATAAACTTAACATATGGCATTTGTCTTATGGCAAAGGAATGCAGTGTGTTTTTCTCCACATATGACTCAATTCAAACACTAGGGAAAACTTTGATATTTCAGAGGGATTTGCAGTTGAGGGAATATGCTTGCTACCTTCTCCATTAAACAGGCAAATTCCTTGAGGCCAATTTCCAGAACCTGAGGTGTCCCAACTTTCTCAGCTAATTGAATTCCTTAAATCACAATACATCTCATACAGACCCTGGAGTAGTTCTAGGTACTACCTGCATGAGATATTTTCAATGAGATATTTTAAAATAGTCAAACTAACAGGTAAACATCCGTGATGATACTTAGACAGTTTTCTGAAAGATCCTGTAATGCTTGACCAGTCATTCAAACATAGCACATGTCACCACACAAACAGAGGCAAAAGGAAGACGACATGGAGTAAAAGCTTGCAGTTTAAAAACAACTAGAATGAAACCCCTCTTACTGGGTGTTTATGATATTTCAGGTACAATGCTTAGTGCTTTGTGTGCATGGTCATAGTCAATACTTACACACTCCTCTGAGATTGGTGTCGTTATTATCTCCACTTTACATATGAGGATATTGAGATTTAGAAGGCACAGTACTTGGCACAAATTTACATGGACATCAATAAAGGATAGACTGAATCCAAACCCAGTTCTGTCTGATTCCAGAGCCTGGCTCCACTATTCTAATGCACAGTGAAGGTTTTTATTGTTACATGCCATCAGAGGGAGGAGGATTTTAAATCCCATCTCTCAACATAGAGTATAATTCTGTGAATGTCATCTCTAAGCAACTTCTCAACTTTCTAACCTGCCTTCGTTCAGGTCTTCCTACACTTACCTGGTGCACTGAAGTAGCCCCCTCGCTGCTCACTCTATATTCTAATTTGTTCTCCAAGGCTATTGGGAGAGTGATCTTTTGGGTTAAAAAGTATCATATACCCACTTGCTCACAAATATTCAATGGCTCTTATGTGTAGCTCCGACAATGGCTTGGACAGTGCTTTATGGACCATGAGCACCTAATGGGCCTCTCACTGAATGACTAAACATTTTCCATCTCTTTCCTTTTCCCAACACAGTTTTGAAATGAAATATCCAAAGCCATGCCTGTAGATCAGGGGTTGTTAAATACTGGAGAAGTGTTATCTTTAGGGTCTGAAAGATTGAAGCTCTATTTTCATTAGCTCCATGACCTTGGGAAAGTCACTTCATCCCTCTGATTGTTTTTCCTCAGGTGTCCTCCTTACCTGGTCAGTGTGAAGCTGAGGAGGTATATGTCGGAGGTACATGGGATTCTCATACCATCATTAATAAGCACTGTGAAAACATTTCATCAGGCCTTAGTGATCCACCATTTTCCCCGTGGCAGTGGGGTGAGAGCAGAGTGTTTAAGGGGAGTTTTCGTGGGCAGGAAAGAGGAGGAGACCCTCTTAGCGTACGGGACCCTAGCTGGTAGAAGGCTGGTGGTGACAAGCCACACCTGGGGTGGCTCTGGCATCTTGGGGGTGTCAGTGGGAGGACAGAAGCTCCTAGAAGAGGAAAGAAGAACACTTAACAAGAAAGTAGAGGGAGCCATACACACTTTACTGACTTGGCCATTTGGCTTAGGCCCAGCCTGGGACCCACATTGAGCTCCTGGGAGCCCAGGAGAAGCAGGAACATGGTGAGGGGACACAATACCTCGCCTCTGGCATAAGCCACCCTTGCCTAAAGCAATTTGATCCCAGACACTTCGGAGAAATTTTCAGGTACCTATTTCTGAGAAGTAAACTACCCCCAAATATCAATGATTTGTTATTTCTCCCCATTTGGTGGGTTAGCCGTCTAGGTGGTTCTTCTGCTGGTCTTGCCTGGGATCACCACGTAGCTGCCGTTATCTGGCAGCCTGAATGGGGCTGGAAGGCCCAAATTCACAGGTCTGGCATCGGGTGCCAGTGTTGATGGGCAGGGGCCTCAGTTCTCCACTGCTGCCCTCCCATCCCCCTCTAGGTGAGGCGCTTCTTCCCAGCATGGAGGTCTCGGGGCTCTCGGGGTTCTAAGAAGGGGAGAAATGAAGCTGGAATGCCACTTACGGCCCAGGTTTCAGAACCTGTACAGTATCACCTCTGCCACATTCTACTGGCCAAAACAAGCCCCCAGGCCAGCGCAGATTGTCGGGGGTGGAGCACAGACCCCCTTCCCTGCCCACCTCTTATTGAGAGGGGTGGCAATCTCACATTGCAGAGATGCATGGACAGGCAGGCATGATTTACTTGGGGCCATTATTGTATTATTTACAACACAATATTCATTTCCACAGTTGCTATTTCCAGAGAGTTCTGTCTCTACCAGCCCAAGGGTTCTACCTACAAATTATATGGGTATGTGGTTTTCTGGGGTCAAAAGGACACTTAATGGGGCTTGGTCAGTGTGGTCAGTTACTGACCAAATAAGGGCAAAGCAAAGCCAGAAACTGTACTAGAACTTTCTGGGTCTTTGAATTGGCTTTCCCACCTCTCTGCTCCTTCTCCTCACTGAAAAACACATGGGCTGTATGTGATATACATATATGATGTTGGCTGAAGGCTTAAATAAGGAAAAAGCAAAATTATTTTGACACTTTAAGACACTTTCATCTTTAGGAAGGGGGTCTACTTCTCAGGACTATTCTGTAACCATAATACAAGCCAGTACTCCACGGGCCCAGTCTTAGAGCAGTGTGACATTTAAAGATACCGAAAGATTAAAGTCACTGGTAGCATAACTGGCATCACTTGGGGAGCATTACAGAACATTCCGTTCCTAACCCAAAGCACTACATCCTCTCAGTTGCTCGCTTCGTCACACCTTCAAGGTGCCCCACAATC